GCCCCTAAAATAGTGGGGCGTGGCACGAGTATAGGTTTAGGTAGGAAAAAAAGACTAAAATGTCAACCGGTATTTATAGAGGAAAATAGGTTATTTATAACTATTTATTAATAATTTTAGGTAATATTTAAGACTTAATTTATTTAATATATGAAAATTTACTAATAAGCTATAATAGGTAATATATAAGCCCCTTACACGCTATCACATCTAAGTGTACCAACCGAGGTGTTCGAGCTACTCCTCCTGGTACCTATGAACGCGGCTTATCGAAGGCAAAAACCGAGCTTAAAGCTCTTGTCTATCCCTCGGTTGGACCATATCTTTGCTCTGCAAGCGGCCGGGGACTATTCGTCGGCCATGGGTTTAGATTGGATACCCGACGTTGCCGATGCAAGCAGCACTTCAGTGATATTGCTTCCTGCAAAAGAGTGCTTCTATGACCTGCCTGAAAGCCTGGAGAATATGACCGCTGAGTTCCCAGCATCGCCATGTTCATTGGTTACGTTTGTGAGAATATTGAGACAATCAGGGAGCCAGGCTTTGAGAAGCAGCCTCCGGGAGAGTACTGGCCATCTCATTCTGATCAGGTATAAGGAATCAGGAAGGCTGATCTAGGTACATTTGGGTGTCAACGCCACTACAAACAAACACATCACCTGCGACATGACAGCCGAGCATGTATAAACAGTGCTCATCGAATAACACAGCACTGCCTACTTGGTTAGCACCTCGGTTATACTCTTATACTCGACTACATGGCGCAAGAGCACACAACGTGTCTTTGTAAGGGGGTGGTAATCGCTTGCATTTTCTCCGTTGTTGGCTGCCCCGTTGTTGGGAGTTATCACTATTGCCGTTGTTCGCATTGCCTCCCTTGCTGTTGGAGGCATTTCCGCTGCCTCCAGCTACCTCGTCATTGGTATTAGTCGAATTGGCACCATTGCCGGCCATCTGGAAAGCAAGCACGCCCGCCAAACGGGCCAGTGTTGCCAGGATTGGCAAGCTCTGGGAGACACACATTAGGCATGCCGTTCATGGAGCCTTGGCAGGTAGTCCCAGCGGGAATAGCAACTTGAAGAGGCTACATGAACATCAGTTTGTGTCCACGGCGTGTAAGTGGAGGTGTGGATGAGGCTACTTACATGGTCCGTATCAACGTTCGATGCTCGTTTCCCAAGTAGTTTGCCAGCCAAGCCGCCGAGACCACTACCGTGGCCGCTCTTTGGGTGGTTATTGCTCCGTGGACCAGGGGCAATATTTCCTTTTTCCCCCGGGACCTGTGTCATCACTTCTGCCTCGGTGCCCTTTGAAAACTGACCGGCTCTCGAAGGATCAATGATGGCTCTCACGGGGCCGGCCCCATCCTGGTGATTAGGTCAATACAAATTGTGGCTTGATAAAGTACACGGGGATATTTACATACGGTAGTAATAATATGGTAAGTAGCAGAAATGTACCCGCTTTTGCTGCTAACCTGGGGAAGAGTCGAGCTAGACATGACGACAAGGCGACTCATATCTTCAAGGGTGTTCGGGCCATTGCCGTTGGTTCGGCCCAAGCCATTAGAAGCCGCATTTCTAGAGCGGAAAATGGTCGTATCGGGCTCGGTTTGCCGGTTGGGCCTTGCCCTGGCACAACACCGCCCATGATACCAAGTGCTGTGGTGTTGCCGCCCGCATTGCCCGTCTTGAGAACGTCATCAGAAATTAGTGCGTTCTTTGCAAGATTATGCAAAAGCTTACAGCAAAGCTAATCTTGCAATGGGCTTAGACAAGAGTGGAAGTAAAGGCCGCCAGGGCTACGTAAATGGTTGAAAAATGTATCCTAATGCAATTATCTTGGGGGACCAGGTGTGCCAAAGAGTTTTGATGGCGGATTAAAAGAAGCAGAACAGATCTAGGAAGCAACGATGAACTGATGAGGATATCTCCAAAAAAAAAAAAAAAAAAAAAAAAAAAAAAAAAAAAAAAAAAAAAAAAAAAAAAAAAAAAAAAAAAAAAAAAAAAAAAAAAAAAAGAAGAAGTCTTTATTGGCGACCTCTCATCTATTTATATGATTAATTTATCCTGCTGAGGTCTCTCCCAACGAATGATCGGCACAGCTATTCTTGGCTATCACTGCGGAGCTGTTTCGATGGTTTTGGTTCTTAAACATACTGACCCCGACAACAAAACACTTGATTGGTAGGCAAACAGAAGCGATGTCCTCTTCAACATTGACAGGAATCTGTAACAGTAGCTCACGACGGCGACTTCTTGCACTCGCTCAGATTTTGCGTGGTATTGGCGTGTGGCTACGCAAGTCAACCGAGTGGTTATGAGTGTCACGTAAATTGTGGTCGCCGGTTATTTCGGCATCGAGATATGTTGCGTGAGGCCACTAGTTGCTTCATGAACTGCCGATAGCGGGCAAAAATAGCTTACAGATGAACATTTTCATGACGCCTACTGTGACAAGGGCAGGGTAACTGGGCTTGGAACATTTGGTTCAATTCAAACTGACTTTGAGGTATCAAAGGTCCTTTGTTTTCCAAGTGGCCTGGAGGGACCGAAGGAACCGAAGGTCTATATATACAAGAAGTCAGTGAGCCCTAGCAGCCTCAGGCAGCCCTTGCCAAGATCCGGCTCCGGGCTCTCGTGATACCCTTCTTTGTTGTTGTGTAACCTTTGATATCCGATACCTTTGTCCAGGCCTTGGCCGTGTGACACCTACAGAGGCTGCTACAGGAGGAAAAGGCATGAAAGTGCAATGTCGCCCTGAACTCAGCAGCATGACCGACTTTTTTTATCTCTTGGAGCTTTGGCAGTTAACAGAGATACCGGCATAGAACGACAGTATTGATATGCCCGGGTGTTTACCGGACATAATAGAGACAGACTACCTGTGATAAGGGCTTAATAGAGGGCTTAAAGCAAAAGGGCTCAATTCAATGATAATCTTGTAGGATGTTAAAGGTCCTTAGTTCCTCTAAGCTAAAAGGCAAGGGGAGACTATCTTATATATATAAAAGGAACGGCTCGTATTTAATATACCTTATAGTTCTTATAATCTCTTTATGTAATAAAGGGCTTTTAATTCTTATTAAACCTAATTCGTGTAATATTAGCTCTCTTCTTTTATAAGCTTAATCTTAAGTAATATAAGGTTATTTGTACTTTTTAATTTTAAGGCTTATTAGAATTATTTAACTTATACTATTATAATAAGAACTTTATACTCTTACTTAAGAAGTGTTTATAAGGCTTTTAAGTTTAATACTTTTTTATTAGCTAACCTTTTTACTTAATTAAGTACTTTACGTTATTATTATTAGTTTATTAAAAGTCTTTAATTACTTTTACTTAATAATCTTTATTTACTTTAATAGATAACGCGTTTCGTAGAATTTATATAATATTAAAAGCTTTTTAACTATTATTTATATAAAATAGCTTAATTAAAATAACGTGAAAGGAATTATAAATTCTTTAAAAAGCTAATAAAACTAATTATACTATTATTAAAAAGATTACCTTAATTATCTTAAAGGGTTCTAATATCTTCTTATTTAGTTTCTTAGCGGGTTACTTTATCTTAATATTTTAGGCATTTAATATTATAAGTTAGTTTACTTTATATCTAAGAGCTTTTATACGTTATTAATTAAATTAATCTTTCATTTATTATTAGCTTTATTTTAAATGTTTCTTAGCTTTCTTATATACTTAAATTATTTAATAAGAGTATAATTTACTTTTAGAGTTTCTAGGTTCTTCTTATAATATAAACGAGTTACTTACTAAAGAGTAAAAGCTATAATTCGCGTAAAATAGCGTTATTTCAGTTAAGGCTAATATAGAGTTATTATATATAAATTCTATTATTAAAAGAAGGTCTTTTTAGTTTAATATTTCGTAGTTTATAAAGGCTTAAAGGTATACTTTAAGAGTTTAATTCGTACGCTTTATTTACCCGTTTATTTATAAATAAAAGGTAATACTTATTTAACTGTTAATTTTTATAAGCTTAAGAAAGTTAATTTATAAGTGTATTATAAATTATAAATCTTTATTTAATATAATGTTTTAGAGTACCTTATAATACTTTTAATATACCTAAGTAAAAATATAAATTAGGTCTTTCGTTTTCTTTTCTTCTACTAGAAGAGGTATAAAGTAAGCTATTGCTAAGGTTCTAGTAGTTAAAGTAGACCTTAATATAATATATAATACCCTTTAGTAAAGGGGTTTATTATAATTTAAATTAAGTTATATTCGTTTAATAAAGGTAGGTTTATAATAAAGTTTATTATTATTAATTATTAAGGCTAGTAATAGAGCTAGTAATAGTTTTCTTAAATAAAATACTATAAAATATCGGCTAGTAATAGAGTTCTAATAGTTAAAGAAGTTTAAAGGTTACGTATTATAGGTTCTTATTCCTTTAATATTTAAGGTAATTATATATATAGTTTCTAACTATTATCTTTATATTTAACTATTAACCTAAAAAGGTAAAGCTAGGTTAAAATAAATTAAAATTAAGGCTATATAAAAGGCTACTTTAAGCTAATTAAAGGCGTTTTATATCTTTATTATTTAAGCCTAAGATTTTAAAACGTTTATAAGAGGTTTAATAATTTTTAAAAACCCTTTAATAAATCGTTAATAAAAATTAATAAATCCCATGAGTTTTAAACGTTCTTAGCGTTCTTAAGCGTTTTTTATACGCGAATATATTTAACCTTTTTCTTAAATATTAAGATACTTTTTATAGAGATAATATAGCTAAGAAATTCCACTTTTAATACTCTTTAATAGTATTTTTAAGGGGCTACTATTAAATTATATTAGAAGAGATAAGTAAGTATCTCTTTAACTATAGTATTATATTCTTTAATAAAGCTCACGTAAATAAGAATATTATTTAAGTATACTAAAATACTAGTATTAATTAAATCTTAGAAAATACTATTTATTATTACTTAAAAGATAATAAAAGCGTTAATAAGGCCTAATAGCATTACTATATATTTAAAGAGGCTATATTTACACTTAAAGGCCGTCTTTTATTTATAGCCTTTTACTATATATATAAGGTTAAATTTAATTTTAAGGTTAATTTTTAAGAAAACTATAGCTTTTTATAAGTAATCTTAAAGCTTATAAATAAGTAATATTAGGTACCTAATAGGCATTATAACTTTATTTAAACCTTTATAGTTAATAACTAGTTAAAGTAGGTCTTTTAGGTCTTTCTTATCTATAAATATTAGAGAGGTATTATAAGGTACTTTAAACTTTTTAATTTACCTAAATTTAAGTATTTTATTTAACTAAGAATAAAGAGCTTTAAGTTCTTAGGCGAATATAGCGAAAAGAGGTTCCTATAGTAAAGATTTCCCTTTTACTAGTTTAATTTAATAATTCTACGATTAATAGTTTAGAAGGTAAATGTAACGGTGGCTTAGGTTCTAAGGTATAGTAGGTCTATTTCTTAGGAAGTAAGTTAAGTTAAATGCTATAAAGTAGCTTTTAAGTAATATTATAATAAGGCTATTAAAAGTATAACTCTTAATAGTAAAACTATTACTTAAATTAATTAATAAAGATTGAGACTATTTAACTATAAAAATACCTTCTTCTTAAGTACTCGTTTATCTCTTTATTATAGTCTTAAATTAAATAGATTCTATTTAATCCCTCGTATTAGATTAGGTTAATCCCCTTTAATCTATTAAGTTAAATTAGACTAATCCCATTTAATCCCCTCACGTAACCTGCGATCCCGTTAGGCCCTATTCTTGTCTGTATGCTAGCGGCCTATAATACCGGCTAACTGCTTTAGGTACCCTTAGTTCGTAACATTAAGCTTTTTACTATTTTAACTCTCCTTTAATAAAGCGTTTAAGGGTACTATTATCTTAGAGTAATCTTATATAAATTATTAATAAAAGTTATAGAATTTTAAAAATACTTATATCTTATAATATATAATTACTTCTTTCTATTCTTAGATAGTTTATACTTATTTTAAATTTATTAAAAGGCTATTAATTAATAGAATAAACTTTAAAAATTCTATAAAGGTTTAATAAAAGGTACACTTAAATAGCTTTATAAATAGCTTAACTACTTATATTCGTTCTAATATTTAAGTAATATAAGAGGTATATTTCTCTTTTATTTTTAAGAAGATTAAGATATTATTTAAATCTACTATATAAA